GCTCTGAAAAAGAGGAGAAAACCTGCACCAAGCTGCAATTCAGCCCTGGGAACTGCAGTTTTAGCCAAAATATCAAACTGTAATAAAACCCCACCCAGTGTAAGGCCAAAAAGATTAATTACACATATCCTGTCTCTATCAACATCCATACAGCACTTAAACATAATAATAAAGTGATACTGGAATTGACAGAGTTAATTTAATTCTACTAGGAGAGGAAATCACGATTGATTAATTGATTCATCACAGAAGAATTCCTTACCCGACAGCTCTGCTGTCCATTTATCCGTGTCTGCATATTCAAACTCCAGGTCTGGTGACTCCGAATAGCCCTGGAAACAAGGGGAAAAAAAACACTTCAATCACAGCACGTTTCAGGAAAAACAAAATCCCTGAAAACACTCCCAATTCACCTCATCCTCCTGCAAATCCAGGGCTGGTTTTCCTGGTTTAGGGACCAAAAACATTCCTGCAGCAGCACCAACGTTACCGAGGCAACTCCAGCCCACCTCCTGCGTCTCCACGGGCTGTGCCGCATGGAGCCACTGCAGCACCCCCAGAGCACGGGGGGAGCCCCCAAAGCACAACAAACACAGCAGAACACAGGGAGAGGCTTCTGTGAGATCACCCATTTTGCACAAAATTGGGAAAATTTGGGCTATCCCCCTGTGCCATCCCAGCAGATGGGATTAGTGAGGATGAAATTACTCCAAACAGCTCTGGTGAGGCTGCAAAACCGTCCAGGAGAATCTTTAGAGCACAAAATATCAGCTCCTTTTAGGGAAGTCAAGAACATCAACCCAGGGGCAGACGCACAAGCCAGACCCTCACAAATTTCAGGATTCTGAGCATGGGGCAAATCTACACCAGAACTCTCCTGAATTATGAGGCTCCCACTCCTGAGCATGGGGAGGATCCAGAACAGAATCCTCACCCCTCCTGAGTAAGGGGTAGACCCATACAAGAACCATCTCAAATTTTGGGGCACCCATTCCCGAATGAGGGGCAGACCCAGAGCAGAATTCTCCTTAATTAGGGGATCCCACTCCTGAGTGAGGGGCAGATCCACACCAGAACTCTCCCGAAATTTGGAGCTCCCACACCTGATCAAGGGGCAGATCCACACCAGAACGCTCCCAAATTTTAGGGCACCCACTTCTGAGCGAGGAGTAGACCCTGAGCAGAATTTTGGGACACACACTCCTGAGCACAGGGCAGAACCACACCAGAACCCTCTCGGGACACCCAGCCCTGAGCAAGTAGCAGAGCCATAGCAGAACCACCCTAAATTTTGGGGCACATATCCAGAACCAAACCCATACAAATTTTGGAGCACCCACCCCTGAACGAGGTGCAAATCCACAGCAGAACTCTCCTAAATTTGGGGGCTCCTCCTCCTGACAGAGGGGCAGACCTACATGAGAACAATTCCAAATTCCAGGAGTCTGAGAGAGGGGTAGCTCCAATCCCTGGTGCTGGCTCTGCTGTGCTGGGAGTCCCCCCAGCAGCTCTGGCTCTCCAAGACTCCCCCTCACATCCCTCCCCTGGAATTTCAGGGACCTTTCTGAAGAACCCGTGGGTTCGAAGGACTCTGGGGCCATCCCAAGAATGAAACGCTTTGGAAAAGCCCCGGGATACCTCAGCTCCACAAAACCCTCCTGACACCCAAGGCTCAGGGTGACTCCAGGACCGCGGGGTGTCCTTGGGGGGATTGGTCACCGTTTGCTGGACCCATTCCTGGTCCGAGCACCCGGCAGCGGGAGCCGACACCCCACTCCGGGCTGGTACCGACCGGTAACACCGAGAAATCCCCGGATGGGCTGTGAGACCCCCGGGCCAGCCCTGTCACTCCCGTGACAGGGACCGGGACCGGCGGACCGAGCCACCCTCGCGCCCCGGCCCAGCCCAGCCACAGCGGCCCGGACATGGGGAAGGGATGGATGAAGGGGAAACCGGCACCGACCGAGACCAGGCAGGATCCCGGCAGCCCAAGTTCCGAGCAGGCCGGACAGGGAGAGACCTCTCGGCTCCACAGCCCGGGGCCGCTGCGCCAGGGAAGCGGTACCGAGGGAGCGGCCGGTCCAGGACCAGAACATCGGAGCCAGCGGACGGGCTGGTCCCGGGCTGATCCTGGGCTGGTCCCGGGGAAGGCGGTGCCCAAGCCAGGCTGGAAAAGCCGGACACTGGCACCCCCGGGCACCGGCACCACCGGGCACTGGCACCGACCGGAACCGGTACCGACCGGACACCGGCACCGCCCCTGGGCACCGGCACCCATGGGCAGGCCGTGGACGAGGCCCGGCGCGGCCCGCCCCGCCCGGGAAGGCCACCCCGCTCCCGGCGGCGGCGGCGGCGCTGACCTCGGAGTCCTTGCGCGGCGGCCGGGCCAAGTCGCGGCCCCTCCCGGGCGCGGCCGCCCCACCGCGGCCCTTGTTGTTCCCCGGGACCGGGACCGGCCCCGGCCCGGGGCCGCCACTCGGCTCCATGTCGGCCGCTCCGCCGCGCCGAGCTCTCGCGAGGACTCACCCCCTCCTCTCGCGGGAGCGGCAGGGAGAGCCGGGGCAGAGCCGCCGCCATGTTGGGAGTGGCACCTGGGGGAGCGCCGGTATCTCCGGTGGGTGCGATGCAGCTCCGCCCGCCGGTCCCGCTGCTCCGCCGTGGCGGCCGCGTCACGGCCGGCGCTGCCCGCCCCCGGCGGCCACGGACGGCGCGACACACGGCCGGGCGGCGGGCTCCGCCCCCGCGCGGCCATCTTGGGTGCGGCGCGGCCATGGGCGCGGCCATGCTGGGTGTGGCACTTCCGCCCTGGCCCCAGGGCCCGGGTGCTGGAGGCCGCCATGTTGGGAGTGGCAAGACCAGGCAGATCCCAAACTGAAGGGCCTGGAACAAAGGAATCCTCCAGTGAAGGGGCTGGGGGAGCTCAGACCCCAAAGAGGGGGGACCTGGTGGGGCTCAGAAGGGAGTCGGACCACGACAGAGGAGCCTGACAGGGTTTAAACCCCAAGCTAGGGTGCTCCATTGGACTTAAAAGAGGGTGAGACTGCAAAATCCAGAGTTGTGGCAACGCTCAGAACCCAATCCCCACCTCGAGGTGGCCAAAGGGAGATTCCAGCCCTGCCCTTGGGCTCAGAAACAACTCAAGGTCCCCCAAAGCACCAAATAAACCACCCACAACCAAAAGCACTTCATTTTTCCTAATAGTTTAATTAGACTTTAATGATTTATTGCTCATCTGCAAGGATTAATATTGCATTCATTAAAAATCATTCCTATACAAAATAAACCTCTCAGTCCCGGCCCGACGCTGCTGCCGCCATCACTCCCAGGCTCCCCCAACATGGCTTATCCAGACACAGAGCCCTTGAGCTGAGATTCCCCCCGGGAGGGGTGGGAATGGGGGGCTGGGACCCCCGGGTGTGGGGGGCTCACAGGGAAGGGGGGATGCTCCCGATCCTTCCCACAAACGCCCATCCCAGCTCGCTAAGCTGTCCCCAGGGAGGTCTGGGGGATGGTGATTCCCAGGATCTGTCGGGGAACGAGGCAGGTGATCCCCAAAATCTATGGAGCAACCGTCCAGGAGACCAGGCAGGGTGGGAGAGAGGAACAGTCAGAGGACATGGAGGAGGGGATGAGAGAGGGATGATCTCAGCACCTCTCCCATCTCCCGGCCCCCCAAGGAGCTTTGCACCCCCAGACCTGCAAATCCCTGGGAAGGACATGTCCAGGTGGATCCCTGCAAAGGGGGGAAGGAGCAGCTCCACGATCCGGGAGGTGCCAGCAGCTCCTTCCCTCCCTTGGGCGGGGAAAGGAACAGGAGATTTGGGGAGGATAAAAAAAGCCAAGAGAAACCTCAGTGGGTTGGAAGGAGCTTCCCACACCCCAGGACAAGCTGGGAAAGGGAAATGTCGGCAGGGACAGCATGGAGGAGGTGACGGGAGCAGCCAGGACACACGGGGAGAGGGTGAGGAAAACAGCAACAGGGAGCAGAGGGGCCAGGCTGGGGTATGGGGAAGGCTCATCTCTGCATCCAGCTCAAAAAAAAAAATAGTGAAACACCCCCAAAACCCACCCTAGACACCCTCAACACCACCAGCACTTCCCAGTGGGAGATGGGAAGGCAGCCACGTCCCCAGTG